TTAAGTTTAATATGTGGTTATTGTTTTGATAAAAAAAAAAATAATAAACATCCCATAGTCAAAACTAATCAACAAGTTGGTGTTACTGTAAGCATTTAGTTTCTGAAGTGTCAAAATGTTGAAATCTAGCATGTTTCTTATCCTTTTGCTTGTCAATAAAATATGTTCAAAACAAATCTAGCATCAAAATTCGTTTTAAACAAATTTATGATGTTGTAAGATTCACTCTTGACTGAGTTGAGTGACTTGTTTCCTTGTTTTGATAATATGTTTTAAATGATTTTTTTTCCGATGAGATGTATAGTTACAGGTATCTCGGATTAATGTTTTCAGTGCTATCATAAATTTTAGACTCCTCGAAAAAAATATCATAAAAAGATGACACATTTATATAACAAACTAAAGCTCTTGTAAGAAAAAGTAGACTTGAAAAGAAGGTTGATTTTTATTTAATTTTCATTTACTTTAAATTTAAAGTACTCAGTGTCTTGTATTTCGTTCTTTACTTTATTATTTGAGGGGTTGTCTCTATAACGTATTTTATGTTATCTATGCCAACACTTTACTAGCAATGATTGTACCATCATATTTCCTTCGATTTTCACCTCTTAGAACTAGAAAGAGAAAAACGAGAAATTTCACAATTTTGACATTTTAATCCATCATGTACCTTCATAACAGATACCTCCCCCATTCCCGGAATATATATGTCAGATGGGTTTTGACATATGTCTTTAGATTATCTTGATATATTACTAATTGTGTATATTTGTTTCTATTTTTACCAGAAATGCTTTATAATCACAAAATACCATCGCCTCGTGATGACGTCACACTCGAGATCATTGATACGGCGGCTAAAGTAAGTAGACCTCTTTCATGCGGAAGGAAATTCCCAATTTTATAGCGACTTACATAAATAAGTCTTTTATAGGCAATAAACTTCTGTTTAGTGAGCAATTAAACATCAGATTCAGTAATTTACGCCTGATCTTAATGGTTTTATTTCTCTTGGATTTATTTTATAAATAGACGCATGCACTTAACTATGAGCAATAACTGTCAAGGTTTTCTACACGGAACTGTATTAATTACGATACGAAATAAATTTAAAAAATTCAATCTATCAAGTTTATTATATACTCAACAAAAAAGAAACGCATATTCAGATCAAACATGAAAATCTAACTTTTCAGTTTATACCTTATTAGCTCACCTGAGCCTTCGGCTCAAGTGAGCTTTTCTGATCAAAATCTGTCCTCTGTTGAAGTTGAAGTCGTCGTCGTTAACTTTTCACATTTTCATCTTCTCAAGAACCACTGGGCCGATTTCAACCAAACTTGGCACAAAGTATCCTTGAAAAAAAAGGAATAAGTTTGTACAAATAAACCAACCCCTTTCCCAAAGGGGGAGATAAAAATGGAAAATTAAGCATCTTTTAAAATCTTCTCCAAAACCTTTGGGGCCCACTTTGAAATGTGTGGGACATCCTCAGGTAGTGAAATTTCAAGTTTGTTCAAATCATCCCGGGGGGGCATGGCGGGCTGGCTATAAAGATCATCGGAATACATATAAGGAAAAATCAAAACCTCCAAACCCCGGGAAAAGATGAAAATACGGGGAACACCCTGGTTGTGTAATTCAAGTTTTTTAAATCATAATTTTGGGGGGAAAGGGGGGCCACAATGGCCAACCATTTTTTCATTAAATTTTAAAAAATCTTTAAAAAATTCTTCTAAAACCAATAGACGGGAAAGATGAAACTAAAAGGAACTCCTGGTTGTAGATTGTGATTTTAGGGGTACGGGGAAAAAGGTGATAAAAGTTTTACATGGAATTGTAAAATTTTTTAAAATCTTCTTCTCAAAAAAATTTTGGACCAGGAAAGATAACTCTCATGGGGGGAGACCCTAAGTGGGTTACATTGAGTTTTGTATAAATATTACCCCGGGGTAGAGTATAATGGCTAAAAAAGTTTTACAAAAATAAAAGGGAAATTTTTTTTCAAAAATTCCACAAAACATTGGCCCAGTAAAGGTAAAACTAATGTGGAAGCATTCTCAGGTAGTGTAGATTCCGGTTTGTTCAAATCATGACCACTGAGGATAGGACGGGCCCACAATGGCTTATCAAAGTTTTACATAGGAATACCTAGGAAAAATCTTTTTTTTTTCTCTAGATCAGCAAAGCTATGGATGGTGATATTTATATGGAAACATCCTCAGTTAGAGTTAATTCAACATCTGGGGTAAGGTGGGGCCATAATGGACAATCAAATCTTTACATAGAAAAACACTGTACGTATATAGGAAAAACCTTTAAAACTCTTTTTCTCAACTATGGCGAATTATGTATGTATGCTATATTGCTATAATGACAATCTCAAGTAATAAAAAATTCAAATCCCTCCTCCAACAAGAATACTTTTCAATAATGAGCTGATTATAGTGTTTTTTAACTAGCCCATGTGCTCAAGTGAGCAATGTGGCCCATGGGCATCTTGATTTTTAAAAGTGATTTCAGAGTGTGTTGTGATTAAAATCAAAAATGTCCTTTGTTGCGAATTGAAATGTCAAGTTGATGTCATTTTCATCGCCCCCAAATTCTAGGGGCATAACAATATGTACTTTGCGACGTCTCAGCGGTAGTGGGTTTCCAATATATATACGGATGTCGTGGATGAATACCATCTCCCTTCATTCTCTTGCGAACAGTTTGTGTACTTTTATGCTGATTTTTTCAACCATTCATTAAAAACACTATTTTCATAAACATAATTAATCAACGGAAATAATTCAACACTTTGGTTTTAAAATCTCATGGTGTCCTTTAAATGGATCACAGGTATCTAATGAAAAAAAGTAGTTGTTCCATATTTAGTTTATTTCAAAAATTTCTTTGATAAGTAAAGCAATATGCATTTCTTTTTTTGTTGAGTATATTTCTTTCCATTTTTTGTATGATGGAAAGATGACACTACAAATTATAATTTAAGGTAAATTATCCCTTAATTATGCAATTGGTAATCCAATTTATACTTTTATAGTTTTAAGAAAAAAATATATTCAAAATCATATATCAGTTTTCAATATTTTTAATATTCCAAACAACCAAATAAATTTTAATTTCCATATCCATATTGAATTCCAACACTTCATTAAAATCCTTAGATACAAAGATCATGAAGATGTATAGAAGATTCAAGTAATATCGACGACGTATTGTTATTAACAATTATTTCTATTCTAATCTGGGCACGATATATAAAAATGTCTTGCTGAGTTTGACATAGAAGAAACCACGATTTCTGACATATTTATTTTATACTTGGATATTTTACTTGAGAAAAACGTTAATGGTAATAATAAATTTTTGACCCATAGTATAATAATTATAACACAAGGTATCTAACTCCGATTTACACCGAATACCCCCTCCCTTAGAATCGCGCTCATTTACACTTTCAGAGGAAATGCACCGGTAAACTGTTTATACCTAAGTCATCTACGATAATTTATCTACACAACAATTTTTGGCTTGCTTTTCCTTGCTTTCTTTAATCTCCGTAAACAGTGTCAAAACTCTACTAGCAGAGTGGAAAAGTCGAACTATACCATAGAACGGTATATGTTAATCTCGGGCAAAGAGAAAAATTAAAGAATGCGTGGGTTTAAAAATTTAGTTCCAGATTTTAAATATTGCATCGAATAAATAAAATTTCATTAAGTGTCTTATTTTCCATATAACACTACAATGTTTTTCCGATGTAATTTTAGAAACAAAATTGAAGCCAATCAAATTCAAGGTCTAATTCTTTGCCGGAGACTATGATATACGATTCTATGGTATAGTTCGACTTTTCCACTCTGCGAGTAGAGTTTTGACGCTGTTTACGGAGATTAAAGAAAGCAAGGAAAAGCAAGCCATATATGGTTGTGTAGATAAATTATCGTAGATGACATAGGTATAAACAGTTTACCTGTGCATTTCCTCTGAAAATGTAAATGAGCGCGATTCTAAGGGAGGGGGGTACTCGGTGTAAATCGGAGTTAGATACCTTGTGTTATTATTATGCAATTGGTCAAAAATTTTATTACAGAAACAAGTGCCTGTGAGCAATATACTTAGTCTAGTACATGTACATGTACCTTCATCACCTGCATACGGGGTTTATATCTCTCAGTTTATTCGATTCCCAAAAGCATGCCCTGCGTATGAGCAATTTCTAAAACAAGGTAAATTATTGGAAACAGGTTGATGAAACAAGAAAATCAGAAGTATTGTTTAAAGTCATTTCGTAAATTCTAGGTTCGATACAATGACCTATTCAGCAAATACAATATACTAGTATATGCTCATCATCATTCTTTAACTTGCAGGACAACGAAAACAGAGAAAGTCACATAAAATGGGGTGATGGTTTTGTGTTTATTTACTCCATCACGGACAGAAAAAGCTACGAGTATATTAACACATTAAAAGATATGCTGGTCAAAATCAGGGGCCCGGATATGCCCGCTATAGTTGTGGCTAACAAATGTGACCTACTTTCTGTGAGGCAGGTTGAGGATTCTGAGGGAGTGACACTAGCCGAACAACTCAACTGCCCAAAATTTGACGTTTCCGTCGCGGAGGGATATTCGGGTGTGTCAGAAGCAATGGAGGAACTTGTTATTCAGTTAAAGCGAGAGTTTGTCAAAAACTGCTCACAAGCCGCAGTGACCGCTAACGACAAAACCAAATCAAAACTGTTCACATTCAAAAAGGGATTCAAGAAAAGAATCAGTCGAAGTCATAGTGACACGGTGTAATTTTTTTGATATAGACTCTTTTATGATGCATTGACATGCAGCGCCTATCCACAAAATCATTTAATATGTGTATTGTTTAAAAGCTATTGTTCCAACTTTATTCATTCAAAATCGATGATGATGAGAAAAAGTAAGTGTGTACAGGTATCCACTAAAACTAAACCATAACTTTTTTTTCTGATTTCAAAGTTTGTTCGTTTGTTTGTTTGTTTTGTTTTGTTTTTTGTTTTTTTTTGTTTTGGTTTCAAGAGCAGCTAGAACATAGAGCTGCAAGTTACAGTTTTCAGAAAAAAAAATCCATTTATATAAAAAGGATTTCACAATTCAAACAATATATGTATATTGAAGCAATGACAAAAGGAAAATAGTGAGAAACTATAACATTTATTTTTTTTCATCATGAATGTACAGACATTAAGTGCATTTGTAATACATAAAATATTTGACTGTCATTGTATACAGACATTTATACTGACATCAATAAATTTGGCACTTGATTATATAGTATACAAATCTGCAAAAAAGGAAATTCATCACTCAATGTTTTTGTACAATGACAATAAAATTTAATAGAAAATCACAGCTTTGTTTGTTATGAGCAAGATACAAGAAACGAATAAAAGCAAGAGACTCACGGGTCTTGTAGGTCACATCAACATTTGAATTTAAAAATTTGTTTCAGGCCATTTACATTCAATATTTTAAAAGAGGAATCATTTTTTCATAACAACTATGCACTTAGCATGTTCACTTTGCTTACATAATACCCATAGGCAGAGAAGAAAAAAATGCATTTCAACTATAATCAGTACTATATATAATAATTAGTGGGGCCCTACCAAACAGGAACCAAAGGCCCAGACCCTGACCGGTTTCACAAATTTCACATTTTTTTTAATGGCACCCTTGTTCAACAAAAATGTCTGAATAAAACCGAGAGAGACATTTCCAAGCATAAAATAATTGATTTTCTATATTTCATGAGAGTCTCTATGGTACTACTGACCTGGAGGCCTTGAAATTCACAATTCATTATAGCTACCTGTAGTTCATCTACGGGTAGTTATCACTCGGGAGCAGGGGAGAAGATTTTGAAACAAGTAATGCATTTTAATTATATTATTTATATAGCCCATTAATTCTTACACCAGAATCCCTAATCCTGAAACCATACAATTAACAATTTTGGAAGAAGCACCCCTCATTTTCAATGAATATATGCATTCTCACTATATAATCTATATATCCCCGTCCTAACATCAGAAACCTGATCCTGTGGCCCTGAAATTTCAAAATTTTAGAAGAGGCACTATTGTTCATTATAACTGGGTACATGTATGTCGCTAGTTTGTTTAATACCAGAGACCGAGAAGAAGATTTCAAAAAAATTTATGCATTTTCATCATTTTTACCCTACGACCAAAACACATGCTCCATGGGCCACTGAAATCACATCCATTTGTAGAAAGGCCTTTTCTCATTATGGCCAATTGGCCATATGTTTGTCTAATACCCAGAAGCAGAGAAGATTTTTAAAGAAATACTTGTAACGTCTTTATAATCTATATAGCCTCGTAATGTTACTAGAACCTCTGACCCTGTGTCCACGAAATTCAGGACTCAATTCTTATTACAATCAAGCAATCAGAATGTTTGATGTCAAGGATCAGGAGGAGAGAGTAAAGATTGCATTAATTTTAGATGTTTTGGTGCCACACCACAGCCCTTTTCCATACAGGGGGGGGGGCATAAAATTCACAATTTTTTCTCCTTTATCCAGATCAAGATTCTGTTTGCCAAAACTGGCTGAGCGGTTGAAGAAAGAGAAGAAGCTGAAAATCTTAACGCACAAAAACGGATGACAACAGATAGCAATTATGAATTCGTATGACCTAAAAAAGAATGAAGATACAAAATTCTTGTAAAAAGTGCAAATCAAGTATCATATTTGTAGCAGTGAAGTTATGAAAGATATTCACAGGAAACTTTTAAAAAAATATTTGAAACCAAATATTGTCAGAGCATCTTGTGAAAAAGTAAAGGACACACGTGTAAAGAACTTCAATATCTTGGAGTTATTTGAGAGGTAGTATGGCAATACACAATGGTAAAAAGATTTCAGAAAAAAAAACTCAATTGTTTAAAGTAATACAATCACACAATGGTAATATTATCCCAATCAATACTGAACTATTCAACATGAAAGACAAGGACTTTTAACTGGTATCGTATTTCATAATTTCGTCGGTTCTCTCGAACTTAATGGCTAATTAAGTTGTGTGTATCCTATGGGTGCAATATTCTTGGCATCCTTCAAGTTTCCAAAATGTTCTTCATATTCGTCGTCGATACTGACTTTGTTCTACAAGAATTAAAAAATAATAATTATTCTCATTAGAAATACAAAGTCTGAAATCTGAATAACTAAAATTACATTGAAAGTTTGGAATTAAGTCTAAACAGTAATTTCCAGTCTAGCGAAGGCTGCTCAGCCATTTGAGATCGGACCAAAACCATATGTACAGTTAAACACAATGAAGTCTAAAGATCTCGAATGTGATGAGATTAAAATATTAACGAGAGGTCCGAGTGTTTAAGATGTTAAATATCAAATGTAAATTAAGGTAAAATTAACATTTAAATAAATGAGATGAACTATTTATTATTCCTGCACATTGCGACTCTTGAAAAATGTGTCTCATCAAAGTGTTTTCATCTGCTCATGTGCATTAATGTGTGCATGTATGTGAAATAATAATTTATGACTCACTTTCTTCCATTGGTTGTAAACCTACATATTAAGTTATTCATTCCTGTACACTGTCAAGTTCTGCATGTAATGACATTTTTCAATAACAGAAAGCAAATTTCACGTCGTTCTATTTTAATTCTACATTGAAAATGTACTTATGTCATTGAATCAATCCATTCCTCTACGTTCATATTTAAGCTATTACCATTGTTTTAAGAGTTATATTCAACTCTTAATATATTTAAAAGTTTTATTCAAAATAAAATATCTCAATTTCTGACCTTTTTGAATCTGTGCCTTAGGGCCCCAGCCACCGTGACAAGTGCAGCGAAGAGAAGCGCCCCGGCTGTCAGCCCGGCAATAAGTGCAGTTTTATCAGAAGATTCTGTCGTCATAAAAGTAAATTCATGGCACACAGAGAAGATAAGAGAAGAAGAGAAGAGAAGAAAATCAAATTATTCTATGACAAAATGAGAGATAAAATCATCAAAACATCATTATTTGATTTTTTTCCAGTTATGCAAATTTTTAATGAGTTAACTCATATGTCTTTTTTATTAGGTAACTTATATTGTTAAAAATAAACATATTTTCGACGTGTCAAATTTTCGTTCATTGAGAGAAATATATTGGTTGGTGGGGATTTGTTGATGAAGAAATTTTGAGTATTATTTTTTCTAAAAAAAAAACGTGGTTAGCATTTCTTGGGTCTCTTCATACAGGAAGTCAGGGATGAAGAGTAAAGCTGAATCAGAAACAATTTTTAGGACACCACTGTGGCACCTTGATGTATCTGGAACATTACAATAAAAACATCTATATTCTACATTTATTTATTTTGAGGTCGATTTTTGTAATTCTTTCCGTCAAAAGCGACAGGTACTTTAAATTAAGTTTTTGGATATATAATTTTATTCGAAGTCATAAAATTTAAACAAAATTGTAGAGTTGAAAAACTTTTTCCTGAATATCTTCCACCACAAAAAAAACTAATCCCAATAAATCTAAGTTCTTTGTAATTTTAGGAGCAGATATATTCAATGTTATAGTTTTGTATTGTTCAATTCAAATAGGTAATAAAATATGAATTGTAATAAATAATTTGATCTAAAGAGTTCCTACCAACCGTTTTAACTTTTTGTACAAAAATAGCACATTTGGGGTATTAAAAATCTAAGTGGATATTAGATTGGTTCCTTGTATCAAGCTTTTTATGACTTATTTGATTTGAAGTATCGTATACTTTAAAATGATAAAGAAAAAAATCTGAGATGTCAATTCTAAAATATCAGCCAAAATTTACAGTTTTGGGGCAACAAAGAATATTTAACTCGAAAAATCTGCGTTTGTTGGCAAGACCTGTTGATTGAATGTGAAAATTGTGCTATAAATAGGTAATAAAACATGAATGGTCATAAAAAATGTGAAGTAAAGAGTTCCGACCAAGCTTTATTCAAAAGCCCTGACATACCTTAAGAGTTTATCATTGCACAATTTTATTGTCTATTTAACATGTTTACGATAGAGCAAGACTACATGTATGTAACGTTCCAAAATAAACAAAATATCAGAGAAAAAGAAATTCGAAACCGTAAGTGATTGATGAGCTTAACGAAATTACATGTCAAAGGTAATATTACATATACATGTTATCGACAAAAAGAAGCCAAATAACTGTCATTCCTTTTTATATGAGTTTATAAGTATGCCTAAAGTGAAGATATTAAAAAATACGAAGAAAAAAATCCAAAAGAATTTTAAAAGTGAAATCTATCTCCCCTTTAAAGCAAATTGAAAACACTTTTTGTTTATAAAAAGGCAAAGAGGTAGATTCACGTACTCCATAAATTGGCCCTGTCAATAATATACTAATTAACCGACCAAGTCCTTATGTCCTACTTCGATCATCAACATAAAGTAGAGACTTAGTGCTTTCATTTCCTATAAAAAAAATTTCCTCTTAGAGTCCAAGTCTGGTAACTCAGGCGTTGTGAAACTGCAATAATCTTAATTTTAGAAGAAAATCAACTTTTGATAAAAGTATAATGTTGATTTCTATAATGAAAGAACTGTTTCAGAAGATTCTAATCCATGAAAAAATTTTTGGATCGCAGGGTGGGCTCATATTTTTATTAAAAGTTGAAGATGCTCAATTTCACCCATTTTCTTCAAAAATCAAGAACATTACAGTTTCGCAACGCCTGAGTTTCCAAACTTGGACTCACAGAGGATAATTTTTTATAGGAAATGAAAGCACTAAGTCTCGACTTTATGTTGATGATCGAAATAGGACGTAAGGACTTGGTCGGTTAATTAGTATGTTGACAGGGCCATTTTATGGAGTATGTGAATCTACCTCAAATTTTCAAGATTTGAGGAAAATGACGAAATTCATGACGTCATTATTCATAGACAAGAGAAAAAATTACGTCATTTTTATTTGATATGAAGTAACCAAGGGTTTAAGTGAAATAACGTTTTTTCAACTAAAAAAGAGTAGTTCTTTTTTCAGAAATTTACAGGGCCAAAAATGGACCAATGTGAACTTTCTTCTTTATTTTTAACTGAAAAGATCAACGTCAAATCTAGATTTAATATTAAATGCATTGATAATGTCAAATCATAAGCAAACCCTATGTTTTAAAGATAATATTTAGATTGCAATAAGAAATATACCATCAGCTTTTGATTGGTCCACTTGCGGGGAAAAATCAGATGGCACGTTTGACGTCGTAGAAGATGACACGCTCGATGTCGAAGCTGATGTTGGACCATTTATAGAAGACAATATAGTACTTCCAGTAAAGACTTCAGTACTATTTGGGGAGTGTACAGTTGTTGATGTCGTCGTGGATGTTGGGAGGGACTCTCCACACGAATACACAGAGGATGCATTTCCACAGGTCAGTGTCAGATCAGAGGTACTATCTACCGCTATAAAGAAATGGAGGAAAATAATGATGAACATTTCTATAGGTTTAAGCCAAATCAGGAGCACTGTCTACCGCTAAAAGAAATGAAGGAAAATAATTTTATTAATAAAATCTTGCATCCTTATCTGTCAAAACATTTAAATTTTATGGTTTAAATGTCGTAAACGTATACATGTATGTAGCTTAGGAAAGTATAGTTTCAAGTCAGCACTGAAATATTATGCTTAAAATAAATTTTGACGATCGTCTATAAAATTTCTTCATAAACTTTAAGGCATTAATAAGAACACGGAAGACTGTTCGCAGGACCATGTTTTAGTTTTTAATAAATAGTCGACGTCATTTATTGCAAAGACAACTTGATGAAATAATGCTGTCAAAACGATGTTTATATAATCTGGAAATAAAATAAATACACTTTACCTTTCATGTATTGCTATATCAAGTACTTTCAGTAAATATTCAAAGGCAAACAAACTCACCTTGCAGTGAAATCCAGAAGTTTCCTTCGATTCCGGCAAATGTATTATCGTATCTTATACTTAGCGAATCTGATTGGCTGGTATAAATAGTTGTCAGGGAAAATTCATTGTTTTTACCACAATCAATTGAGGTTTCTAATCCTCCCTCATTAATAACAAGCCTTTGGTAACAGGTACCACTGATGTCCTTGTGAAGACGTAAGTCTAAAAGCTCTATCTTAATAGCAGAACTTTTGGAAGCGGAAACAGAGCACACGCAGCCAGAGGAAGTTGCGCAGTCGCCACTTTTGGCAGGATATCCGTTATTCCAAATGTATAGTTGATTTCCGTTATTTATAGTCGAAGTGCAAATATTTGATATCGATGACTCTACAAAACAATTAAATAGTAAAGGAATGAGATCAAAACAATTATGTTACATATTGGTATTCCATATTAGGTTGTTGACAAATTACATGTAATACATCATATGAAAAAAAAGTGGATTTTACATTTTCTTTCTTTGCATCAAAATACTAATAAATCAAAAAAATTAATTAAATAAATAAATACTTAAAAATGTATTATATTTAGCGTGTACGATATTTTGCAGAAGTCGGTTTGTCAACAAGTTAGCATAAATTTGATTTAGCACATTTTAAGTTCTTTAACATTGCAAGACACAGAGCAATGTTCTAACACTAAGTGGAGCGTGCTTTTCGCCAAAAGCGCTTATTAATATTAATAAATGAATTCAGAGTCAAATGTTATACAAGCTTATACAGTAAATATAAATTAAAGAATGCTTACTCTTTATGCAGTGGTAATGCTGCCGCATGTAGTTTGTTTTCGTCATGAAAACACTCTGGTTGCAGTTTTGTTCTGTTCCGTTCCATGCTACCTGGATCTTACACGTCAGCCGACCGACACAGTTCGTGTAATGCACTCCTTTATAGGAATCTCCATAGTAACGCCATCCACAATCCGTTGATTGGTTGTTATAGCGACAACAGAACGAGTCATTACGATTGATTGTTGTTGATTCTTGTGGGCATGCGTGGGATTGCAATTTTGCAAAAGTAAAAACATCCCGGATGTAGAGAACTTCGCTGGTGTTACAGCTAGGCTCCAAGAAATCGTCAACTGTGATTCCGTAACAAGCCTCGAAAATCTGTTCTGCGGAGTCAATAGCTTAAATTGAAAAGAAACACAGTATAGTATATTGTAATCAAGATAGAAATAAGTGGAAACGCTCCCTCTTTATCAGAAATTAATCTGCTTTATATATATGAATTTTGATTATTACACTGAAAATACATAATACTTCTATATATATATTCAAAGAGATATTAGCCGTCTTTTTATCCCCAAAGAAGAATTAAATACATGTTGTTCAATATATATTACATTATACTTAAGTTCAATAATAATAATTATGTTCTTGATTGTTACTTTTAACAACAATTTTACAGCAAGGCAATATTTGTTTCTAAAATATTTCTTTTAACTGATATTCGTTATTCCACATAGTTTTATTTTTCATTCTTTTTTTGGACTTTTTGATTGTTTATGTGTGTTTGTTTAGTTTTTTCTTCTTTTATGCAGGAGATCTTTTCAAAAGTCATTTATATTTTCACGTACAAGAATGTTGAGGACTTTTAAATAAACTCTTTCAATAACCTTTTTCAAAGGTCTTTAATAGTGAGCATCATTTTTTTTTTACGATCGAGGTACTTAATGCACTTTTAAAAAACATGTAGAAAACAACAATCGTGGACTTAGATTTTAATAACAGTATTCTTTCTATAGAAACTTCAACTAATTGGTCTGCCGTAATGAGAAGGAGTAGAGAAGGTATTACGGTACAAATTTTTACCCCTAGGACAATTTTGGTCGATTTTGAATATATCTTATTGTTGAACTGAGATTCATACAGTAAAATTCGGTTATAACGAAGTCACTGGGACCTGTGAAATTACCTCCCTCTATCGGAATCCGTAAATCGTTATATCCGTCGCAGCACAGTTAAGGTTACAAAAAGGAGGCGGAGCCTAATTTGTACGGGAAAACTGACTATGACATCATACACAATATACGTCATACAACATTTCTTTAAAATACCACAAAATGAGTTAATCTGCTAATTTAACCAGTAAGAAATCATCAAACTACATAAAAACTTACTACAGCATGTTGTTTTGTCGTTAGTTAAATCCCACATAATAAGTTATTATAAACAAGTCACTGATCGCAATACACTTGTCAATATGACGTCATTTCTTACAACGTGACGTAGTTTGTATGCAGTGAGAGACAGATCAAGTTATATTTTCTCAACAAAATATGTATTCTCTAAGTAAATAAGATATTATTTATACATATTCTATGGGCCAATAACTTAAATTTAATGTCTTCTTCACTATTTTATTAATATATTTTCTGTACATTTCGTATTTAATTGCCACTGCCGTATATTTGTATGAAAGTACATCGGAGGGTAATGTGGGGGTCTTAATAAATCGATCTAGTGCAAGGGCATACACTCTATGGATCAAACTAAGCTTTTACATTTCAACTATAGAACTATTAAGGTATCTGAAAAGTGCTGCGATCCTGATGAAATCTTAAAAACAATTTAATTATATCAATATTTCATGTCGTTGACCAGCAAAAAATATAGCATTCCGTCATACAAGTATAATTTTAACAATGAAATTGCAGAATTTAGACAGGATTGCAGCACTTTTCAGAAACTACAATGCGTGTTGAAAATATTTATATACTAAACTTGGAATTTTAACTTGGTGATACCCTTGCACTAGCATGCGCGGATCTAGAGGGGGGTGGGGATCAGGACCCCCCCCCCCCCTGGAATTTACCAGGTTAAAAAATGTATATACTAGAATAAGAAAAAAGTTACCATGGACCCCCCTGGAAAACGCTGACCCCCCCTGGTAAACGCGAATATGTGTGAAATGGGTATGAATAGTGAAAGATTTGAGGGAATAGAAGTCACCACTACCCCCCCCCCCCCCCCCCCCCCCCACGAAATAGGTTTTTGACGTTTGTGCGAGTTTAGGTTTTTTTTTTTTTTTGCTTGTCAAGAAATTTCTGGGATTGGATTTTTTTTTTCTGACTGGGGTGGACTCCCCCCTGGAAAAAATTTCTGGATCCGCGCCTGCACTAGTCATATGTAAATGTAACATCAATACTTCAAGTCAATGTGCTAAAATCGCCAGACTGCCTCATCACGTGACTAGTCTAAATATAAAATATAATCGTCCTCGATATGTAGTTATTAATCATAATTACAATTATCCGATATAAATAATATAATAAAAATAATCGCCATCCCGATTACGAATACATTTTTAAATACAAAATTTAGTCAATATTTCCATTGCGCACCTTAACTGTATTGCGGTATAAAAAATTCACTTAATTTATATAGCTGGGGATTCAAGAAAAATTTGCTATATCCGTGATTTCGCTTGAACTAAACGAGTTTTACTGTATTTATAACAACCTCAAAACATAAACACGAGTTACAATGTTTGTACCTTTATGTGGAATTAGCATGGAATATAGTTTAATTTTCTTTTATTTGGGATTTACAATGTATCATTATCGGCGAACCCATTTCACCTGCCCATCAATTTAATAACAAAGCATGCTCATACTGAACAGAAACAGAAAAAAATAAAAGGATTAACAACAAAAAAATTATAAAGAAATCAAATTACAAAAGCGTCTGGGTGACTCGTGACATATTTGGTGACGTGTGTCTAAATGAATTTAAGAAGATAGGAGATTAAGTGTCAATCAATTTAAACAGAAGTCAAGTTTTCATCTCTGACTGTCCCTTTGGTTGTTACTAAGTATTACTTTATAAATTTTCTCATAATTTAATAAAGTATTTGCAAGTATATTGGCCAAACTGTTGACCAGTTGTTCAAGGTGTGTCAATATGGTCGACATTAACACACGTTAAATATATGTAATTTTATATATTTTTTTTGAAGTCACGCACCTTGAAGAATTAAATTCAATTTATAAAGTGCGTTGTAACATTGCATGCAATATAAAATTGGACAGAAAAAAAGATACGAGCAGTCATGCCATATACTGATATGACTTGCTTTTGGAAACATTGTTTATCGGTCTTGCGTTAATAAAATAGTTTAGATAAACAGCACATGGGCTTTTAAAAAAGCAGATCATTTACTTTTCTGTCGTGCTCCATACTAAAGAAAAGTGACGTAAGGGGACTATTTAACCCACTGTGCCTATTGAACATGCACATAAATCAATGTTTGCTCAATGTGTGCATTCAGTACAATCAAATACCCGTTATGATTTGACTTAAAAGTTTTTTTTTCTTTTGGATCACAATATTTCTTTACTAAATAAGTTTAAAACATTTAGTAAAGTAATTATACATTTAATCTCTATTCAGTTAAATTTCACAACCAGGAAGTTTAATTGATTGGTCAACATTAACATGATTAAGGATCGGATTTATATGTATATACGACTGTTTTACTTTTTAAATGATTTATACCTCCGCATATCACAATAAAAAACTGAGCGAAATATATTTTAACATAAAAAAGGGTCTCAGGCCATTTCCAACATTCTTTCTTTCTTAAAACATACACGTAGTCCAAAAATGGTTTTTAGAGTTAATAAAATTTTATTTACTTTCGCTTGCTTATGACCTGCTATTTTAAAACAAGACATGATTTAATTTTTTTTTTACACGTAAATTGTATATAGTCATGTTCTTTTCTTTTATTTGAAGATTATACGTTCATATATTTGTAAACATGTATGAATATATCATTTAATTCTGCGATATATTCAAATGTATGTAACTTCAACTGAAAAAAATTAAATATTTTAAAACTTACCTTTTTGACTTTTGAAACAACACGAAATACAAATAAACACAATAACGGTAAGCGAATGAAAACTTTTTGAACATATATTCATTCCGAGTTTGTTAAAAAAGAATTAAGCTGTAATAAAATCCAAAACTATGCCGAATCTCATTTATATAAGTTAAAATCCCAGTTATCAAGAATTTGATAAACTTTGCCACAACCTAACTTTTGGATGTAAAAAAGTTAGTTTTTAAGACGATCTTGACAAATAAAAAACTTCATAAACTGTTTTACTACTACCGGGTTCAATTTAAATTCCCGTTTTTCTCTCATTGTCTCGTGTCAATACGACCGTGGTTAAAATCGATCGATTCAAAAGTTTAAACTTTCTTGTGATCGACAATCAAGGCGTCATATGACGCGAAAAAAAAAAAAAACGTCCTTCCAGTTCTTTTCAATTGGTATGCTAGTATTGTAATCTGGTTCCAATGATTAAGGAAAAATCATGAACTTTCAAGAGTAAAAAAAAGTGAGGTTAATTTGCTTACAATTTT